CAGGGAAACTGCTAGTATATGGGAGGCTGACCCTTGCTCTTGGAGGTGCTCCTTTATACAGTTATCGATCTTAACGCACAGTTCGATTAGATGATCCACCCATGCCAGTTTGTCTTTGATTTCTTTGTTAAGGCTGAGCTGGAAGTGGTAACATTGCACAGCCTCATTCCACTCAGCGTCTGCTACCAGGCATCAAAATTATACAGCGTATTTGATAACCGATTGGTGCCCCTGCCACAGTGCTTGGAGTACAGACTCTGCTTTGCGCATGTGATTTGGGTCATCCAAGATCACTGTCATGGCTTGCACAAAGTTTTCAGATTGAGCCAGGAGCAGACCAGATTTCTCCAGGAGCTGTGAAGCCAAGGCCAGGGCCTCCCTGACTAGCAAGCTGATGGGCTTGGTCAGTGGGGAATGTTCTCGGTTGCAACAGAAACAGAAGCTGACACTGATTCAGGAATCCGTGGAATTTGCCACGGTTGGCATCAAACTTATCCGGCAACAGAATCTTTGGTTCGCAGGGTGCCAGGGTGGCATGGCTTGCATCTGCAGTGCCATATTCTGCACCTGCAGGGCAACAACCTGAGTCTACAGGTTGTATACCCACTATTTCCAACAGGGAGATATTTGTCTTGGTGGGATCAGTGCCAGCAGGGAACCGGGCCCCTTTTCCCCGATGGGGGTTACTTTTGGGGGGGGGAGTGCTTAAACTATTAGGGACCTGGATGTGGATGGTCATGCCTAGTGGTCAGAGCTGTGGAGTCAGGCCTAGTGGTCAGAGCCAGGATTAGGAGCCAGGAGTCAAGGCATAGGATCAGAGCCAGGATCAGGAGCTAGAGCCCAGGGTCAGAGCCAGGAATCAGAGCCAAAGGTCTGAACTGGGATCAGGACCTGAATGCCAGAACCAAGGGTTAAGTCAGAGTCATAGCCAGAGAATTGAAGCCAAAAGTCAGAACCGGGTTATCTGGAGTAAGGGAAGGCAGATGCAGGGCTGGGTCCAAGGCAGGAGTGAGGGTGGGACAGGGCTGGAACAAGGCAGGAACTGAAGCTAACACAGCCATAGGCGTATGCTTTGAGCAACCACAGCCCTGCTGCTATTGCTAGTCTTAAGGGCGGGCCTGCTGATCCTCTCAGCCAATCAGGCAGTTTCACCAATCAGGCGGCTCATTTGGGACCTAGTTGTGCTCATTTGACTGCTGAGGGTTAAGCTAAGGTAAGTAGGCTAGCTGTGGGCCCTTACTCCTGACACATATAAATAGACTGTAAGCCCTTTGGGGCAGTACCTGACACAGCGGGTCCCTGATCCCTAACTGGGGCTTCTAGGCATGGTTCAATACAAATAATAATAATAATAATTAATAATAAACATTGGCTCTCATTTGAATTGAGGCTGTTAGGAGGAGCAGGATGGGATGTATCATGCTTAAGATCCTTTGATCTGGAGCTCTTCCACAAACTAGAAAACATGCTCCTGACTGCTTCAGTCCTGCTACATTTAAAGCCATGAGGTTCTAGTCCTATGTGGCTGAAAATAACCCCAGGGAACCTCAGCTAGAAATTTCTGTGAACTGAGAAAGCATGAGACTTCAGTGAAGATAAATGGTCTTAATGCGTAAAACAAGTGCTTACCAGACAATAAAGAGAGCTGTTTCAAATGGGATTTTCATCATAGCAGGTAGCATAATAGAATATCAGGGTTGGAAGGGACCTTAGGAGGTCATCTAGTCCAACCCCCTGCTCAAAGCAGGACCACTCCCCAGACAGATTTTTTGCCCCAGATCCCTAAATGGCCCCCTCAAGGATTGAACTCACAACCCTGCGTTTAGCAGGCCAATGCCCAAACCACTGAGCTATCCCTCCCTCAGGAAGAAGTGCTTGGTGAGCTGTGCATTGTATTGCATTTGATGCACTGTTGGAGTTATCTTTATTTTAGTCTATGCATATAGTCCTGAGCATGAGCCCACTGAAGCCACAGAGAAGTTAAAAGTTGTAAAATATCTCCATTGGGGTCACTTATTGCTAGTTTTCCAGAACAGTTGAGCACTCACAAGTTCCATTGAAGTCAAACAGCTGTGAGGGCTTAACATCTTTGAAAATTAGGTCTCATTAGTGTCTAGACTGGTATGTTGCTTCCTCTATAGAGCAGTTCCCTATTTGCAGGTTGTTTGTCCAACAAACCTATTTACTAGAGTAGAAAACTACTAATGCTAAGGGCCTAAAACCTTTGAGTCAGCAGCACTGACCGACAGGTCAGGGGGCTGTTCATCATCTTCAGCATTTTATCAAGAGTACAAAGATGGGAGGTGAACGGAGGACAATGTGCACTTTCAGCATAAAAAATGATAATACCTGTCTGTCACAAAAGCATCACTTTTGTCTCACTGATTTATCTGCTGCTACAGAAGGTTAAAAAGCAACAACAACAAAAAGAGCACTTTGTCCTCTTAAGAGAAGTGATAAATGGGATGGAATGTAAGAATCAGACAAATTTACTATTTCAAGCAGTTTCAATCTGTAGGAAAGTAAGTGTGTGTGTGTGTGTGTTAATCAATGGCTTGTTTCCAGTGTGGAAGAAATAGAAATATCTGTGAGCACTGGCTAGTGTCAAACACCCCTACTACAGAAATGAGTCTGGTGTGTATGTTATATAGCATTTTTATTAGTGGCAAGAGTGCAGACTTTTTGACAAAGAGAGTCAGCCTTGAAACACAAAATCTCTGATTGTACTGCAGAGCTGGGAAAGATCGTACTCAGGGAAAGGGCAAGCAGGAGCTTTAGTAGTGGGGAAAACCCTAGAAGTAGTGAGGTGTTGAAAAAAAAATCTTTCACCAAGTGTAAAGCATATGCAGACCCACAAAGCTAAGCAGCATGAATGGTGAGACTGGGTACAGCGAGGTAGCTTATTTGCCATTTCAATAAATACAAATAATTCCCTTTTGACTAAGTCCCATATTCCCAGGCTCATTAAATCAATTTCAGAAATTTTTTTGGCTCTGGAACATATAAGCAGAATTCAAACCGTGCCGTCCCTGGAGGTTCACTAGCATAAATTGCATAGGTCAGGCCAAAATAAGTTTCTGTCAAACAGCCTAACACCTACGGTTATTATGAAGCTGGTGAGTTGTACAAAGGGCCTGTATATGAGATTGTCAGTGTGAATGCATTGGTGGGGAGAGGGGAGGATGTAAAAGCTATTGTCCTGGTACTTGTTTCACTTCAGTCTCATTGGGAGTCGACTGATATTTTATTGAATAGGATCCTTCTGTGAGCTCACAGAAGTTAAAAAAGGGAAAAATCCTTTAGGTCATGGTAGTCTGCCTATCCTTCTGCAAGATTGTACTCTACAGTACATAAACTCAGTGCATTGTCCAGTGGGGTGGGGGTAGCTTCCACCACTTCCGTTGGGAGATGACTGCAGCCTAAAACCCCCAAATAAATATCAAGTTTCTCCCAATATTCAGCTGCATTTTTCTCATTTTTAGATTTATCTCACTACTTTTAGTTATACCTCCCTGTACAGCCCCACCCTACATAACTTCTCTCCATCCTTGATGCTTGATTCATGCTCACGGATGCTAGTAGCAGCTGCACTCCAGGCAATGGGGGAAATTCAGACCCTGGGGAGATAAGGCAACATTTGTGCTTATTTCCTCTCACAGGGATAGGGAGATTTTAAGTGCAGCCTGATCTCTCATAGGAGCCCCACTGACAGTGGATAACCAGAGGGTGAGCTGAATTTTGCTGCTCCCAAGCACTGCGGTTATGACCTCCAACTCCCTGACGACAGCAGCTCACTTTGGGTGCTGCAGTCGCTGGCGGTGGACCCCTCAGTGGAATGGGGGCACTTATTTTAGTGTAGAGGCTTCAAATATTTGTAGACTTTTTTCTCATCTTCACTCCATACAAATTGCTTACCTAAGTCATAAATCAGTCGCTCCAGCTCCCTAATTATTTGCATTTCCTCTTAACTCCTTCCAATGCCTTGGTGCATCCTGGTCTGTGATGCTCTGTCTGTGACACCCAAAATTGCACTGGCCTTATTTGTTACCATATTGCATGTCTTCTTTCCTGGTTTTGGAAAATTAGTACTAGGTTTGCTTTTCTCCATCGCTTCTCCAGGACTTTTCAAAAAAACCCTGAATAACTTGTTAACTAACTCCCCTGACACCCAAGCTCCATATGATCTGGACGGCCTGATTTTGTCTTCACATCATTCACTTTCCCTCTCTTTTCAAGGGAGTCATTACTTCCCAAATGTTTTTCTTCTTAGAGGCAGTTATTAAAAGTAGTTCACTACCCCAGCTATTTTTGAATCCATTCATTTAATGATCCTTCTCATTTGTTAATAGGTCTACTTTCCCCCTAATATTTATTTTCCCCTGGTATATTTGTAAAAACACTTCTAAATCCCTTTAATGCCTTTTGCTAACATTAACCCATTCTGCTTTTTTTTCCCCACTCCTTTTTTTCCCCTTACAAGCCCCTTAATCTGACTCTGAGAATTAATCTTAATTCTCACTTTTCCCATTTCCAGTGCCATGAGTGACATGCTGACCAGTAAAATTGGGCCTGTTGCTTTGGAAGGAGGAAATGGGGTTTATTGTAGAAGATATATTTGTATATACAGTAGTGAAAAATGTTCAAAGTAAAGTAATTTATAGGTGATAAGATTTCTATTAATTTATGCATGTTTAATTGACTATCATGCACTATTTTGTGTCTGTGGGCAGAATTTATAACAATGGATTGACTATAGAATGTCTATATCATACTTGCCAGGAAATAAAGCAAATTAGGGCATTCACTAACAAATCAGACCTGGTTTTTACTTGCTGTTTCCTTAATACTTTCAGTTACATGGATTTACAGACAGTGGCACTAATACTATATCTTCTACTTCTATATAGTTGTCTACTGCTATTTGTGATAGTAATGTCTGGGACTGTCGAGCTTGCTTTAGTCTCCACAGACCGTGACAACATTTTCTCCTTTTCTCCTAGGCCTGTCCCAGGTTCTCTGTCTTCACTACTACACCTACACAATCGACAAAGACAACCCATGCCTGCCTCTATGCCTGGCACCCTGCCCAATCCTACCATGCCTGGATCTTCTGCAGTACTAATGCCAGTAAGTTATTTTATTTTAATACTGTATCAGGCATTATCAGGGGCAAAGATCTACCTCACTGCACACAGTGAAAGTGAAGTGATCCAAAATAGAGAATTCAGAGTTTTGTGTAATTTTGCGTTCATTTACGCGTTTTACACAGATGTAACTCAATTAACTCCAGTAGAGGGTCTCCTGATGTGAACCACTTTATGTGATTCTAGAATCAGGTCCTTATTCTTTATTAGAATTTTTTGGATCCTGATATTGAGTTTACTTACTGGTGTAAATCAACAGCGTCTTCATCGAAGGCAGTAGAGTTACATAATTGTGAGATTAGAATTGGGCCCTTACTGGACAAAGCACATGCACAATGCCAATTTAATCTCAAAATAATTACTCACCTACTGTGAGGAGGTGAGTCAATAAGAAGTAAAAGTAATTTATTTTTCAGAACCAGTAATCAGTCATTTGCTGTAGATATGGACCCAATCCTACATGGTTGCCCTTGCCCTCAGCTCCCATTGACTTCAGTTACCCCTCTTGCAAGATGCAGCCCCTTCTTTTCATAGTATTTTAACAGCCCTGTTAATATAAAAAGTTTTGGGAGACAAAGGGCAGAAATTAATTAGAGAGGGTTAAAAATAACGGACTAAAACACCCATACGTCACTGTCTGAATGTGTTCATTGTGCAAGGCTGTCTGAGAGCTAATGTTTGTGCTGTTCCTAAAATAAAAGTATCCTTCTCCACCTCTTGGAAGGGAAGAACATGCCATTTGTTTTGTGCATGGTGGGACAATGGTGGGACTGTGGGTGTGATTCACCTAACAGATTTGGGCTCTTATTTGTGTTAAGTCTTCCAGAAATGAGAGTGTAGCAGCACTTGTCCTGGGAGGACTCCGAAGGAGCCCTAAGTGGGGTGAATATCCCTTTAAAGTACAGCTTATCTTCACATTCAGGGGTGCAAATTGCTCCCACTTCACCCACAGGAGTGAATCCAGTCATCTGTTGCTAAGTGGAATAAAACATTGAATCCTATCACATCTCTTTTCACTGAAAACATTAGAAAGAAGCAGTTTTAAATAGTAAATTCTCCTTGTTCCAACTGTCTTTTGAATTTGTCGAGGTACTATAATGTAGTGAATTTAGCTTGCAAGAAGAGTTCTAAAGGGTTGGTAGGGTGTTTTTGTTTAGACTCCAAAGCTTCAGTAACATGACCTGGGATATATGGAAAACTCCCCTTGGTGGAGCAGTCCCAGAGAAGAAAGAAGAGCCCAACTCATGTTCCATACACTCTATATCATGGATTTTTATTTACGTTTTCAACAAGCTGAGCTGGGCTGCATTGACAGCAGAAGCCACAACTTTATACAGTGATGCTTTTAAAACCACTTAACTCAGAGTGTTGTTATACTAAAAGGAGGGAAATCATTACAAAAAAAGCTCAAACCTGGGTGGCTGATGTTTGTTTTGAAAAGAAACTCTTTTTTTTCGAATGGCTTTTGAGAAAAGCAGTGTTTGTAGGACAGATTTGGAGAATAAGCAAATATAAGCAGTTCACAAAACAGTTTTTTGAGGGATGACTCAAAGAAATAAAGCTGGGCCCTTTGAAGACAAACTGAACATATGCCCTTGAAAATGTTTTTAGACTTTATTATATTGTCTAATTTGTTTTTCTTTTTTTCTTCCTTTTAAAGATGGAGCGACAAATGTCAATGAACTCCAGTATCATGGGGATGCAAGGCCCAAATCTCAATAACCCGTGTGCGTCACCCCAAGTCCCTCCAATGCATTCAGAAGCCAAAATGGTAAAAAGAAACAATTACAAATCCTTGTTTATATTGTTTTTACACAGCAGTTACCTGGAGCAGTAGGCAGGCATTGCTTACCTCAGTCATGGATCATGTGATCTTTATCCATGCCTGTAATTGGCTGTCAGCATACATGCACTTTCAGATGTTACCAGTCTCCATTGACTCTGGGTGAGATGAATTTAAAGAGAGTGGACCATCTGATCCTTACCATGTTTAATTGGAATTTTGGTGCAGATGTGTGGAAAATCAGCAAATGGGCTGGCTGGTTCTGTGATGGTGTCTGAACTTGGGTTAAAAAATTGTAAGTAAACAAACACTAGAGTAAAGGGGTCTGGTGTGGTGGGCATGGGCATACTGTCTGATTTTTTTTTTCTAGGCAGGCATGTGGCATGCAGGGGTGATGTCAGAGAACAGTGTTAGGGCACAAACTAAACAATGCTTGGAAAATCAAGATTATGTGTTTTTTTTTCTTGAGTGCAGCTGATGAGGTTAGAGCAACTGACAAAGTGATAATTTGGACAAAAATGATTTAGTATTTTAAATGAAATAGTTACTTCTAATCAGTGCTTAATCTAGGCTTGCTGCATCAGATATGAAAGTAAAAAAAAATTGCTTGAGCCCCGGCACCTCTTTCTTTACAAATTAAGCACTGCTTCTAATGTTTCCTGAAGTTACTGTGATGTGTGTATTGTGCGCTCAAACCTCCCCTGTAGTATGCAGAGGATTTATTTGTGAGAATGTCATTAGCATTGAGTTTGTAAGTCCTTCGGCCCCATACATCCACTTCCCGTGGAGCATACAGTAATAATACCCCATAGCTGTGCCCATCAACATATGCTTACATTAGAACTGAAACATTAACATTTTGTTTCAGTCTTGTAATAACTTTTTGATGGCAGCTGTAAGTGTAAAGTCATAGGTTGACGGATTAAATATGTGGGTGCATTTCAAGATACTTTGTGTCTGATTGTCTTTTCATCCCCATGTAAACCAGGAATGAGCTCAATGGAGTTAGTGGAATTACCCCAGTATAAAAGTGTAACACATGAGCAAGGAACACAAACCACCACATGTTTATATTTCCTAGTTTGATTAGTAGATATAGTGTCTGTTTGTAAAATGATTGTCATTCATCCCAAGGCAAAGGAAAAGGTGTACCTGTCAGTTGGTAGAGTATATGCAAGAAACCCTCTGTGTATACAGTTTAGGACCAGAAAACATGCAAGGTTTTCCTGTCTCTATTTTCTTAGTCATGATAGGTCACACATTCACCTCACTATTAGTTTGGGTTAGACTGTTAACCCAAGCTTTGTTAACACCCCATCTACAACCACACTCTGTAAACATGCAACCAGTTGGCCAGAAGAACAGATGTAGCCAAAAATGCTGGCTACTTCAGCCAAGCAAAATCTGTGGTCTAGAGTTCTTTCTGTGCCACACAGTAACAGTGACATGCCAAATGGCAACAGCATCTGCAGCAGACCTTGTTAAATCTTTTTGGAATAGGCATGTGTTTTTTCAACCCAACCAATGTTAAGCCAAACCAAATACTCCTTGGCTAAATAAATCCAAAACTGGCATCTGTTTTGGAGACTAAAGTTTCTGCCCACCACCTTTCCTCTCCCTCCCCCCCCCCTTTTTATTTTACTGAAATTGTGAGGCTACTTAAAACAAAATTAAATTATTGGTACATATGGTGAGAATTCTGTGCTGTAATATCTGAAATTACACTTAAAAGCAGATCACTCCTTAATCTGAAGAAACCATTTTTGTCCTGAACTCTGATACATAAAGGTATTGCTCTGTGAAATCTTCCCCAGTCTGAGTTGGTAACAGGACCAAGACATTGCAAAACAAAATACTGCCCAAACAACTCTTGATGCCTCTTCCCCTTGCTTCTGTGGGGCTTTCTGCCCCTCTCTCTTAGAAAAGCAGCAGCACACGTGGTAACCAATAGAACAGAGGCATCAATTACAGACCATGATCTTCCCTCTTTGAAAATTTACTCCTGTACATATTTCACATTGTGTATTTAGATTATATGTTGCAGTTAACACAAATATAATGAATGCATGAGAAAATACACATATAACATAACATCCCTTTTCATTCACCCATTAGAAATATAAATCTACATGGAAAAAATAGAATAAAGGAAGAAAACATAGGAAATATTTAGAGAGAAACATTCCTTATGACTTAGTTAATGGATTGACAATCTGCATTTTAACTTCAGTCTTCTTCACTGTCATGTTGTTTGTTCTTATTAATAAACATGGCAATCTTCTTCCTATTCAAAGACCTGCTAATGTGAGGTGCTGAGTACCTCCTGCAAGTTGAAGTCAGTAGAAGATGAGAGCACTTAGATCCCAAAGTATCGAGCCCTACGTTAGGAATGAATTTCAGATTTCTTCACAATTTGTTAATGCTATTATCAATGATGCATCCAACTCCACATATGTGCCATTTTGCTGGTTGCACTCTGTGAGTTATATACATAGCATATACTATTCAAAAGTCACTGAAGCAGCCCATAGTAACTGGAGAAGTGCCAGTGACTGGGTCTGAGCCAATGGCTACTGAAGTCAATGGCAGTTAGATCAGCACTCATCTACGTAGTTGACTGTTTACTCCTCAACACAGAGGGGTGCGGAATAGATTCCATGGTAGACTCCTCTTCAGATATGAGATATATATGTAATCCAAATTCCTCATGCCTTACATGGGACTAGCAGGATGTGGCCCATAGTCTAGACATAATGGTGTTTAGGTCTCTAAGTGATTACCTTGCTCCTGTAGAATAAATGTTCATAAACCTTGTCACTGTAGACAAATAGCATATATGAAGGCTATTCACTATAGATGGCAAAATCTAAAGAACTTCACCATGATAACTTCTCTGAAGTCAGTTTGTTGTGGGGAATAGGAACAAGGGTATAATTTTTAAATCATCTTTTTCTTCCTGCCATTTAGGGGAAGCAAAATCCAGTGACCTAATGTTAGATTTTTTAAATTTTTCTTTAGATTAAAATGTATTGCTTGAAATATTAATCTGCTGTACCTACTAAACCAGAATGGATTTAAGTTATAATCACAAAAATTTACAATTTATTTTATGATATGTCTTTCCTTCAGAATATTACATAATGCTTTATAACTGTCTCAGTTAATGAACGAATGATTGAACCTCTACATCAATATTACTTTCTTGTCAGATTCAGAGCTAAAACCCCAGCAAGCACTGATGTTATATATTTCCCCCTCCTAATGAGGTAATATGTATCTTTAAAATTACTAGGTTAAAAATGCATAAAGTGTGTCTAGCATATGAACATGTGGTTAAAAACACTAAAGGTATTATGGACCTTAAATTGCCTGCCCCATCTTTACTATCACATTAGCTGCTCATGTACCATATCTGCAGCTAGTTGAGTTTGCAATTTTAGAGACAGTCGTATTCAAACCTTTGCTTAGCCCCAGTTCTGATATCTTGTGAACCACCTAGGTCAGAAATGAGTAGTATGCATTGTCCCATTGGGAGTCTGAAAATCAGATTTCTAAGAGTTTACAACTCCAACTTGATTTAGGTAGCTGCTATTGTAACACCAACAGACCCCAATCATCATTGGGATTGAACCCGGGACCTCTGTATAAGCCTCTGGCTCTTAGCTAAGGCTGTAGCAGACTCATCAAGCTCTAGCTGGGCCAGGTGCTACTAGAGGGGGACAGAGTGCCTCACCACATGGGCATGAGTTACACTATCTCAAGAATTCTTAGAGCTGGAACTAACACTATATATACCATATGAAAACTTGAAATGCAAACTTTCAAATGATGCAAAGCATAATCTCTGATTCTGTGACTTTACTGGACTATTTGCTGCATGCCAGAATTGGAGTAGAGGATGAAGAACAGGTTGCTACTCAGAATGCCCTGATTTTAAAATGATTTTTTCAACGTTTTTCATATTAAATGTTAATTTTGTAAAACTTTTCAGTGGTTTTACAAAACCAAAATAAAATGTACTATTTGTGCCTCCCTTTTCTGGAAGAATTGAGGGGTTGGGGAAGTCAGATGGGCTTCAGAGCCTGAACTTCCACCCAAGCCACAATTTCAAAAGTGTTTTTATAGTGCTAGCACAAGCCCCACTATCCTGTTGACTCAGGCTGGGAGATTCACTCCTGCACGATGTATAGACATACCCTCAGTGGCCTTTCCCCCCCCTAACAGTTTCTTATTATCTTTATGGAGTTATGCACTAGTGTTAGTGCACTTTAAGCATTAGTAGGGCAAACAGTAATGATATAAAAAGTTACATGATTTTTTTTATCCAATGAAAAAGTACGTACATAATATATTAGAAAAGGAAAACCCAATAAGCCGATAATGAACATGTTCCTAATTATAATGGCAATACTAACCATATTAACTGGGTCTGATATAATTAATCTAAGAAATCTTTGAGAACTTATGGGGAAGAGGAAGGACATAAATTGTGACACTTTTCAGACATGGAAAATATTACAAAGTTTTTGCATTTTAGAGCTGAGATTTCAAAGCCACCTAAGGCTTGAATATCCAGTTCCCAATGCAATTAATGGCAATGGAACATCTAGATTCTCTATGTGGCTTTGAAAATCTTAGCCGGGTTGTAGATAAGTCCCCCTTTTCAGCAGTCTTGTGGGGGCCCAGATAGCTATGTGTTCAGATGTGAATCTATACAGTTTCTCCATAACTGCAGAATTTCAAATATGTTGCGAAAGATCAGCTGTAAAGGTAGGAGTCGTAGCTTCCATTTACTTACATGTTGGCTTTCTGAGTGACCTATTAAGTTCTGTGCTGCTTCAGATGTCATAAATAGTACCTGTTTCCTCATCCACAAGGAGTTATGATGGCCCAATTAAGCTAAGTGGAAAAAATGTTGAATTTAACACTCTCTCTCTTGTCTGATGTTTTCTGCACTTAATTCAATTGGGTTATTGTAGCTACTCTTG